TGCATATTTATTTATTTATTTATTTTAATTTTAATCTATAAAAGTAAATTAATTTATAGATTGCATATGCAAAACGTTTTACATTACACAAACGTTACTACATTACGTATACGTCGTTACATTATGCATACGCCATTACGTTACACATATACATACGTATATACTATTTATATACATATATTAACTAAAATAAATAATTTATAATTTATATACGTACGTACGTACATATGCGTGACCATGACAGAGAATCACACAATATGAGAACCGTACATACGTTACACACATATATATACATATGTACATATGTTACACACATATATATACACATATATATACATATGTATATATACGTATGTATATACATACTTTAACCTTGAATTGACCTACGAAGCAGATTATTTTAGGTTATTTTGACCTGCTTTGCAGGTCAATTCAAGGTTACAGCGTGACATAGTGATACAAAATCGCATCATATAAGAGGGAAGATATTAAATAATATCATGTATACATATACTGAATTAAAACCCAAGCCACATCATACATGTTGATTGATGATCAACAAGCCACATGTTATGTGTTGATTGATGATTGATAAGGCACATCATACACGTTGATTGATATCAAACACATGCTTCAAAACAACAAAGATATGTTTACTATTTAAACCAATCAAAAAAACATTTTAACTATAACATGATCAAGTTTATCGTCTAGACCAACCAAAAACGTTTAAAACTACAAACTCAGCTTTAAATTATAGAGATATTAATAAGAGATATTGTTTTCCATCTTTGATATACAATATGTATCATGACTTTTTCTGAAAACATAGGCACTTTAAACTATGAACTTTTAAATGTTAAAACTGAACTTTTAAATACAGTTAATAATCTTAAATATGCCAGTTTAATGCTTCGCGATCTTAGTATTTACAATGGTTCGCCTGGTAATAAATTCATCACAATTTATCAAAAAGTTGTAAAAAGTGCCTACATTTACAGAAGAATAATTTTTCTATTCACACAAAGAGTAGTTTCATATGTTAAAGACTCTTTGAATAACTTTAAGGTGTTGAAATTCAAGGACTTTAAAGATAAAGATACTATTAAAGTAATTGTTGATGAGGCTGTTGAAAACAGAAAATTGGTTTAATTTACGAAGGAACTTTATATTGAAATTTATACTGACTTCAACCGAGCAGAGGATGACATAAAAAAACAGAAAATTGAAAGCGAGAATTTGGAATGTAATTTGATTGAAAATCTCAAAAAACTCAAAGATACAATCAAAAAATTTATAAATGGTTTATCTTCTATTTCATCATTTTTTACTATACTCGAAGATAATTTATACCAATTTGGTCATAACTAGTATTATAGCCTAAATTCTTTGCCAAAGTCCGAACTGTTTTAGCTTTTGAGTTTCAGTTTCGTCCAAAATCTGAAACTGGGGAAACTGGGTGAAACTTGATCAAAATTAACATATTAAGTAATGTAAACTTCAATGCAATGATTTTTTAAAAAGTCATATGACCACTGTATTTAAAATCAGACATCCTTAAACTATACCCAGGATATAGGCTTTTAACCTATAACCTCTAAATAAATAAACTAAATTTAAAATAGCTATCACGTGCAAACTAAATTGAGAAACATAATAAAAATCTATATCCCAGTGTAACAGGTTTAATGTCGAGTCCAAAGATGAGGGCAAATGTGACAGATTGTTACTTAAAAAAAGTTATGTTGTGTAATATTTCTTAAAGATAATAGAGGTGGTTTAACGATTTGGCACAAGGTCAAGGCGATCATTTAAGGAGTGTTACAAGATAAGTATTGTGATTTTAAAGGAGTGTTTATTTATTTTACAAGTTAAAAGGGCTTTATGAACTTTATTAATATTTTTTTGTATGGGCAGTACAAGTGTATTGTTAGAGGTTATTCAAATTATATTGAACTATCCTAGACTATACTGAGATACCTTTTGGGAGGAGGAAATTCCATTCTTTTTATAATGAATTTTACTATAAGAAGAGCCTATACATGACCATAACTCTTCTCATTATTCTCTATATTTCCTAATCTTATTTGTTATAACCTTTAACCTCTTTTACACAGTCTTTCATTACATTAACATTTCTTACAGTTTTCATAGTACCAATGAGAAATGTTTTAGTTTTTCAATCTTGGGTCCAAAACCCATTATATTTTCTTTAATCACACCTTTTTGACATTATCTTACACCTAACTCATGTAAGGCAAATGGAGTCAACATCCATTCCCAATGCAACAGGTTGGTCTAGATCGACCTTACTTTAATTGAAAAGATAATTGGGTTTCGTATAAAGGCTTGTGTACTTTCACATGGCTTCTTTTGGAGTCAGATGCACATGTTTCAAATGGATTATCATGGGCAACTCTAATTAGATAAGTATGTCACAATGATGTTCATTTCACAGGTTCTATGAGATGTTAGTTTTATCTCTAACACCAGGTACAAGCTTGAAATTGATTAATAGAATTTCTAAAAGTCTTATTGGTCAATTTAGATGCAGTAATCACATGACTTTTAGAAATTTTATTGGTCAATTTTATGTGTGATAGTCATGTAATATTTAGAAATTTCATTAGTCAAATTTAAGTGCAGAGATCATATAACTTTTAAAAATTATTGTATCTAAGTCTAAGTCATATAATATATTAATTTTGATAAGAATAAAATAAAGTTTCATCTAGTTTCACTTAGTTTCACCCAGTTTTAGACATTTTGCCTAGCATCAAACTTGGCATCTTAGGTGAAACTAGATTTTGGAGATTTCAGAAGTTTTGCTTAGTCAAAAGTTTTGGTTTAGGCTGTAATACTAGTTGTAACAATAAGAATAATCAAGTTTGTGTCTATTTTATTAAATACCAAAACAAAGTGAAGGTTATAATTTGTATCTGCACTAAATATCTTAAAGTTATACCTAACTGCAAAGTCAATTTAAAGGCAATTAACATCGAAGTTAGTGGCAATTATGTTGAGTTTTGGCTTTAAAAGAAAAAAATTACTAATTCAAATCTGTAATCATATAAAGATATGTTCATAATTAGAGATGGGACATTGCACAGGCAGAATTTTTCAGAAGCTTAAAATTTTTCATAATAACATAGAATTTAACAATTTTGGCTTATATTAGCCATAATGCAGGCCTATGCAGGTTGCACAGCCTGCATAGTAGATTTGAAAATTCTTGATTTTTCTATCTCTATTTATGATTACTCTTTCTAAATAAATTTGTTTTTCAAAAAAAGTGTAAGACTATTGTTAATTAGTTAAATTAGTTATTGAAATTAAGAATTTTTAAAATTGTGTATTTCCTTTTTTTTAAGTATTTATTATATTATTATACTCTATTTCTATATAGGTGAGTACGCAACAAAATTATGCTTAGAGTATATAGATTAGATGCTAAGAAAAGGATGAAATTGACATTTTTTTCAAAAACTGTTTTTTTACATAAATCAATTTAAAATAAGATTATTATTTTTTATTAAAGACTTAAAAATAGTTGTGTTAATAAATTTTGTAATATAGCTTCTTAAAGTTTGCATTTTTCTATAATTTATTATAAGATTTGCAATATAAAAATTGATTTTCTAAAGATCTTTTTTTTTGTCAATTTTGTCTCTTTTCTTAGCACCTAGCCCATATGTATTATATATACTCTAAGCATAGTTTTGCTATATATTCACTAGTGTTATAGCCTAAACTAAAACTTTCAGCTAAGTGAAACTTTCAAAAGCTCGAAAACCTAGTTTTGCCCAAGATGCCAAGTTTGAAATGTCCAAAACTAAGCAAAATGTCTGAAATAGGTAAAACATTTGAAACTGGCAAAACTGAACAAAAATCTAGATAAAACTGAACAAAACTTAATCTTATCTTTATCAAAATTAACATAACATATTATACAGACTTTGATATATAATTTCTAAAAGTCACATGACCATTGCACTTAAAATCGATCAATGGAATTTTTAAAAATGTCATTGGTCAATTTTAATAGCAGTTGTTATGTGACTTTTAGAAATCATATATCAAAATCTGCATAATGTGTTATATTGATTTTGATAGAGATAAGATTAAGTTTCATCCAGTTTCACCTAGTTTTTTTGCTCAGTTTCACCTAGTTTTGAACATTTTAAATTTTGTATAAATTCAAAACTCAAAATTTAAAAAGTTTTAAACTTTGATAAAGGGTTTAGGCCATAACATTAGTACTTATTTATATATTATTTTGAAGATAATGTTATTATCATATATGTTTTGTGAATTAAAGTTTTAATTGTTGGATAAAACTAAGCCTGTTTTGACTCTAAATTTGTATAAAATAATAGCCATATAATTTATTCAGAGTTAGACAGAAATAATTATAAAGTCTCTTTATATTAACATTATTTAATGTTAAAATGATGTATAAATTTTATGATTTATAAGATGGTTAATGCCTATTTCACATAATATATAAGATAGGTTTGTATATATTTTTTAAAAACATATTAATTTAGAAATTGTTAAAGATTATATTCTTAGTTTTTCATTTGAAATTGGATTATGATTGATTCCTTACCAACAATTGTAATATAAACAGTATATAAATCTCCTGATTAGTTTTAAGAACAGTTAATTCAGTGATTTTCACATGACACTCAGTCTAAGTTAGGGTTAGGGTTGGAGTATAATTTAGGATGATTTGTTTAATGCTAGTAAACAAATAATATTATGTAGATCACTAGGCTAACTGTGTTGCAAGCATAATTATTATTTAAGTAAAATTGCTATTACAGTATTAGTATTTTAAAACACAATTTAATTGGCCAATTGTTATAGATTAAACAATATGAGATTTTTGCTATGAATTTTTTTTTACTAAAAATAGATTTATTATAATTTTTCTAATTAAAATCTTGTATAACAATGACTCAGAAGATCATTTTGTTAGAAAAACTCCTATATGACTAATTCTTTCTTTCTTTCTTTTTCTTCTAATAAAAAAATAACTATATATGTAATATACTCTTTATGATATATAATTTGCTAAATTAGACAATTTGTAATTAATAGTATAGTGTGTATAAAAAATTAGCATTAGCAGATTTTTTTTATAAAATTTGCATAAGATTAACCATAAAGAAAAAAGAAGAATTTAATTGCAAATTGTTAGATCTTTTCATTGTTATAACCAAATTATGAATAATAGCAGAAACAGTGACTGATTTAAAGTGAATCCTTCTTATCTGTGATCAATTACAGATTAAACTATTTATGTTGAGTTAATTTTTATAGAATAATCACTTACTGGTTTTATTATAGATTATATATATAAATAAATATATACAATAAATAAATATAATTATTATTCCTAAATGATTAAACCTATATTATATATATTTATTTAGGAAAATTCTAAGCATCAATAGCCAGAGATGCTTAGCTTATACATTTCTGATCTAGAATAATGTTGTTAATAAAATCTAAGGGTTTCATCATTGATGAAAGATGAACCCTAGTTTTGTTTTTCATTAAAAAAAATTTAAATAACAAAATGATGAAACTGATGAAAGGTGCCAAAACTGATGAAAGATGATAAAACTGATAAAAGGTAATGAAACTAATAAAGGTAATAAAACTAATAAAAGGTGATAAAATTGACAAAAGATGTTAAAACAAATGAGAGGTAATAAAACTGATTAAAGATATAATACTAAAGAAAGGTGATGAAACTGTTAAAAAAATTATAACTAATAAAAAGTAATAAAATTAATTAAAGATATTAAAGCCTATAAAAGATAATAAAACTAATAATGCTTAAGAAACTGATAAAAAGTAAACAGATAAATAAATTAATATTTAATAATTTTGTTTTTTGAATATTATTTTTATATTGTACAATTATCAAAATTTCTTTTCTTTTTTATTTTTATATCATTATAATTATTTTAATTTATAGTTTATAATTGTATAAATTTTTAGGTTTATTTTAAATCAGTTTAGTTTAAAGTTTAAACAAAATTTAAATTTTAAATTTTATTAATTTAATAATTAAAATTAAACTTGTTTTAAAGTTTGATCTAATTTAATTAAACAGTTTACAAAATAGTTAAATCTAAATA